GTGTGACTTGTGTGGGATCCTTCTTTAGCTTTCGGTAGGTAGATGGATCAAGAAGTTCCTGAATTTTCCGGTTGCAGTCTTTAGTTCTTAACAGGACAGTTGCGTTGCCCTTATCCGTAGTTAGAATGATCATATCTTCCGCTGAATTCAGGTTCCTTATTGCCACTAGTTCCTTCTTAGAGAGGTTACTGGTTGGTGGTCGAGCCTTTCGTAGAATGTTGGCCGTCTCAATATGAATTTCTTCCGCTTCCACATCAGGTAGTGCTCTGATGGCTGCTTCAGTGCTGGCTATAATCTCCTCCGTTAGCAGGTGTTGTGGAGTGATTGCGAAATTACCGCCTTTTGCCAAGACCCCACCAGGCAAGGCTTCCTTACTAAGCCCCCTGCACCCGCTCAAACCCCAGCCCACAGACCACAGGGTCGTGAAAGAATCCCGCCGATTGTAATTCGCAACAAGGCGAAAAACAACGAGATATCGGCCCACTTCAAACAGTCAAATATCCAATTCGGTCAATCGACCAACACGAGCGAAGGCATAAAAATGCACCCACGACATCAGATGACTCCAGGAAGATCCAAGACTTTATTGACAAGAATAAAGAGCCCTACCATACATACAGCTTCCCAGAAGAGAAGAAACTCAGAGTGATGGTCAGAGACCCAAACGAGGAATGGTCCACTGAAACTGAAATCTACAAGGTCAACCAAATCAAATTCATAAAGGTGCCGGTTGAAACCCAGTAATCCCAAACCAGGATTACACAGTGCCATAGATGCCAACTCTATGGGCACTCACAATCCAGATGCCAGGCAATCCCAAAGTGCGTAAAGTGTGCCGGAGACCACCACTCGACCACTTGTGCAAAATCAAAGGAGACAAGCGCTACCTGCGCAAACTGTGGCGGCGACCACCCCGCATCGTACCAGGGCTGCCCAAAGTACCCTAAACATAAAAAGAAATCAGTCTTCAAGCCACCTTGGGGCCAGCAACCAAAAATAATGACTACCGTTAATGCCCCACAACAAAGGCAGCAACAAAGGCCACTTCTTTCACTAGAAGTCATCATGAACCAGATGAATCTACTTCAACAACAGTTGAACGCCATCGTAAATCAAAAGAACGGCCCCCTGAATGGTTGAACAACACGCAAAGCACCTCAATGTAGCCACTTGGAACTCAAATTCAATAAGAGACAAGAAGCCAGAGCTATAGGCTTTCCTAGTAGAGCACGAAATAGACGTCCTACTCCTCCACGAGACCCTCCTAAAACCACATCAGCGATTCACGCTTCCAAATTTTACCATAACACGAAAAGACAGAGACGGCAGAGGCTGATAGCTGTCACTATCAAATTCCAAACCAAATCCGAGAAGATGACCTGGAAGGCACGTTCGTAAACATCCAAACGAATAGCCGCACGCTGACCATTGGCTCAGTTTACATAAGTCCAAATCAAGCCATCGGTGACAGGCAACTAGAGGCTCTGTTCCAATCCTAATTGGAGGCGACTTTAATGCACTGAATGCAGAATGAGGCAGTCGCAAGAGCAACCAAAGAGACCAAACAATACAGAGAAATTCAGAACGCCTAAATTTCAACATATGGCGTCCAGATGAACCGACGCGCATTGGGAATGGCACCCCAAGCACACTGGACTTCTAATTCCATAAAAACCTGTACCCGATCTCACACTCCAGGGTCCTACACGCACTCTCCTCGGACCACCTGCTGGTACTAATATCTTATGGCAACACGGAGGAGAGAAAAAGCCACATACGCCAAGTAACCAGCTGGAAAAAAATTCAAAACTTTGTTGAACATAAAGGCGAGATAACCAATATACAGAGCACCCAGGACCTAGAAGAGGCCGTGAACATCCTGTCCTCCAACATAACATAAGCCTTAGAAGTAGCAAAGACCACCATGCAAGTTCTCAACAGAAACAACTTATCTCCAGATCTGCAGGCTGAAATCAGGAACAGAACAGAAATAGGCTATGGAAAACGGCGTTATGAACCAATGACCTTTTCCTTAAGCACCTATTGAACCAAATGAACCAAAACATCAAAAGACAGGTCAAAGAAGCGATAAGCAACCAGTGGCAGGAAAAGCTAGAGTCAATTCATAAAACAGGAAAGGATCTATTCAGGCTGGCAAAAAACCTTACCAAGTGCCCGAGGCAAAACATGCCTTGCATAAAAACCCCAGACGGCGCCTACATTTCAAACCCTACACTGAAAGCCAAACCATTTGCCGACAGCCTGGAATCCCAATTCCAGCTGAACCCACCGCAATTCCCAGACCACCCCAGGAATGTAGAGTATAACATTCGCCTACTGCTCAACCAACCACAACCACAAATTGAACCCGACCCAGTTATCACTGCCTAGCTTATTAGGGAAGCAATCACTGGACTAGTAAATAGGGAACCTCCCGGAAAAGACAACATAACAGACACTGCTCTGAAAAAACTACCAGAGAAACAAGTTGAAGACCTGCGAAAAATAGTGCAAGCCATGTTTTCCTTCGCTTATTTCCCATCCAAATGAAAGGAGGCGAATGTTATACTCATAAGGAAAGCCGGCGAATCCAGTACAGATCCCAAAACCTACCGCCCTATCAGTCTTCTCCCTGCACTAGGGAAAGTAGCAGAAAGGTTCAGGAGGGGAGTTCAAGATAACATAGACCGCCTCCACATTTTGCTAAACCAGCAGATGGGATTCAGGAAGGCTCACTCTACCATTCACCACGCGACCAGACTAACAGCAACAATCCTCAGAGGGACAAATCGAAGAATGGAAACGTGCAAATTTCCTGGATATATCGAAGGCTTTTGACAAGATGCGGCACGAAGGCTTAATCCTAAAAATCCTGAGAGCCAAAATTCCACACAAACTAGTGAAACTGATCGCCTCATTTCTAACAAACATAAGTTTTTGTGTGAAAATCGACGGCACCACGGACAACAAAACCACATCTACCATAAGGCCAATTCAAGCAGGCGTTCCGCAGGGCTTCCCACTCAGCCCGCTGCTTTTTAACATTTACATGTCAAGAGAGACAACCCTTCTGGCCTATGCGGATGACACAGCCATAACGGCAACTGGTCGAAGTCGACCTATCATAAAAGCCCGCTTACAGCGTCACTTTGCGAAGCTAGAAGACTGGAAGGACAGATGGCGGCTATTAGTCAACCCAAGAAAAAGGCAATATATTATGTTTGGGAAAAACTTAAAACGACCGCCCCGTGAAACTGAAAGGCTAAAGTGGAAAAACACACCGCTGAATTGGTCCAGCAAAGCCAAATATCTGGGAATGATCTTCGACAGACGACTCACTTGGAAGCAGCAAATCCAATACAACAAAAACAAAGCCCAAGTACAAATAAACCAACTATACCCGCTCCTGAACAGGCACAGTAAACTAAACCCTCAAGTCAAGATCAACACCTATAAGCTCTACATAAGACCGATACTAATGTACAGCCTAGATCACAACAGCTACCCAAAACACACGTCACCCGCTCACCACCTTGGAAAACCGCATCCTGTGGAACCTACTCGGCGCTCCATGGTTCGTCAGAAACACCACCCTGAGAAGGGACTCCAAACTTCAAGACATACATAGCCATATACAGGACCTCTGCACAAATTACTTCGCAAAAGCAGAAGTAGGTAGCCACAAACCCCCTCATCAGGGAAAGCCATACGCTAGCCCCACCAGGCTCAACCCACCCTCTCTCAGGGAACCAACTATTTTGAAGAAGTCACGTGAAAAACCTCAACACAGGAGATCCGCCAAGTTGGGATCAATACACAAAATCTAACAGGACCTGGATACCCAGAATATTCACGAACAAACAACAAGGGAATATAAATACCACACAAGTATTTTCCCGCAAACAAATAATATTTCTCATCTAGCCATGTTTAAAAAAAAAAACTAATAGTAGATTATACCATGAGTCAATAATGATAGCTATTATTCCCGAGGATTATTACGAACTGAGCCGCGTTAGCGGCGAGGGAGTAACATTCCGAGGGAATAATAGCCATTATTGCGAGTAGTATACTCTACTTTATTTACGACAAATTAATTTATTTGAGATTTTCAATGAACAAATTTCATCCGTCTCATAATTTTCAATACAAATCCACAAGCACTACACGTTTGACACTGACACTTTTGTGGAATAATGACCATTAATCCCGCTACTCGTCATTAATCCCTGGAGGAATAACATATGTCATTATACTGCCAAAATCACAAATATAATACGCACATTATACATTAGTCGTAAATAAACGATTTAATTTCATCATGGCTAGAATCTGCCCCACCCATTCACAAAACTTGAAATAAGGCGATTGTCGGAGAGAGTTTCCACAACTTATTTTTTCGGCTTTGTTAGTAGAAGATGACAAACAACATATAATTCAGCTTCCGTTCTATCGTGATCTGTTTGCTGTGTATATGCTTTCTTCAGTTTATCATTGCTCTTTCTTTGTCTTTCAATTCTGAGTGACCGGTTACAAATTCTCTTTCGGTGTACCTCTCTCTTCTACAAAATTGAGCAAATCTTTCAACATGGGAGATGAAAGCACAATTTGGAAGCGATAGACCACATTAAATATTTTTGGGCAAGAGCCTACCGACAAAATGGAGAAGGGACATTTTTAGGTAAAAGACAGGAGAATCCAAAATGTAGTTTGATTTTGTTACACAAAAAAAAACCGTAAAGTCAAGAGCTTCAAGGCTTCACAATCAAAGTCATTGCGTAATCAAAACTCTGACCAATATTTGGGATTAAATATATGACGCATTAAATGATACTCGAATTTTCAAACTAAAAACATTCAAGGATTGACAAACAATTGATTTAACCCAAATCAATCATCTTTTAATCTCATAAATTTAGCTGAAGGAAACGAGAACTCATACCTTCTGATAAAATTCTTTTTTCTCTCGATAAAAATTCAATATAAATCTGTTTCAATACCTTTTATCAGGTAGTTTTATTCAAAATAGTAAATTAAATTTATATCGCAGTGTTTTAATATGAAGACCCTTGGTATATTTGGGTTACTAATTTGCTTAAGTCTAGGTGCCCACATCAAAATTAATGATAGCGATGCGGCCAAATACCGTTTACCCACCTCAATACTTCCTATAAGATACACAATAGACTTAGAATTTCCAGGTTCCGCTTTCACCCAGAACGGCGACAGTTTTAATGGCAAAGTTAGAATCACGCTGAAAATTGTTGAAGCTACATATGATTTGAAACTTCACGCATCCAATAAGTATATTACCATAAAAAACTTGAACATTAATGCAGTTGAAGTTGCCTATACTCTGGACCCAGATACTGATATAGTAAGTGTACCTATAAGACGCTTGAATTTGAAAAAAGATGGTACAGATTACATTGAAATTGAGTATACTGGTATCATAAGTACTACTGACAACTATGGTAAGTGTATTTAACTCACCACTATCTGTTTTATTTAGTTGTTGGCTCTTTAGGCGTCTACAAAAGCACCTATGGCAAATTAAACAAAGACACAAGCTACATAATAGCAACTCAGTTTGAAGCCACCTATGCCAGAAGAGCATTCCCTTGCTTCGACGAACCGTCTTTCAAAGCCATTTTTGATGTAACGATATCCCATCAGGCTGACTCAAACTTGGGTTTAGGAGTGCTGTTCAACACTACTCCCAAACCTGTTCAAATGGTTCTTGATAATGATAAAGGCGAACATAATAATACGTTGGAAAGCAGAAGAGCATCAACGTGAGTACCTATTAGTTCTGGGAAGTTTAAACCTTATAACAAATTTTCAGTACAACAAAAGTAACATTCGAATCAACTCCAATAATATCTACTTACCTCATAGCGTTCACCATTTCTGATTTCTCATCTACAGCAGGTGCAAACCAAAAAGATGGTAAAAACATTCAATTTTTAAACTAACTTAATTTCTAAACTGATTATTGCAGTAAATGTTGAACATAAAGTCTGGTCTCGAGATTATCTGAAATCCTCCAGAACCTATGCAGCTGAAGTTGGGCCTAAACTTTTGAATTCCTTGAACAAATATACTGGAAGGAACTATGAAGACATAAAAAAAATTGACCAGGTTGCTTTGCCAGATTTTGCGGCTGGTGCTATGGAGAATTGGGGTTTGATCACTTACAGGCAAGAGCTCGAAACACTTTCATTAGAATATTGAATATTTTATTATTAATTATAGAGAAAGATTGTTGCTTTGGGATGAAGAAAAATCGCCAGACATCAATAAGCAACCGATAGCTACAGTTATAGCCCACGAATTAGCCCATCAATGGTTTGGTAATTTGATAACTTGCGATTGGTGGAGTGAAACTTATCTTAATGAAGGATTTGCTACGTTTTTCGAATACTTTACCACTCATGATGTTGAAAAAGATTGGAAACTTGATGAACAGTTTGTGGTAAAAGTTCTACAGACGGTACTAGCAGATGACTCACAAGGAAACTCTCAAGCTATCAAATCTGAGGTCTCAACACCACAACAAGTCGATACCAAATTTGGATCGATATCTTATTTAAAGGGTAAATACTTTTATCTCCATATTGAAACAAACTCATGTCTTATCTTAGGTGGAAGTATCCTAAAAATGCTGGAACAAATTATGGGAGCTGAAAACTTCAAGGCAGGCGTCCAAGCATATGTAGCATCAGACAGGTGAGTGGGGTTTATACAAACAAAAAATAATTTCCAATGAGGTGATTTTTAGTTTACAGTACAAAACAAGCACCACCTCCAAATTGTTGAATGTTTTTCAAACCAAAGTACCAGCCACAGCTTTGCCAGAAGGTCAAACTTTAGAATCAGTTATGGCAAATTGGATGAACAATCCTGGATATCCTCTTATTAATGTAAAATTAAATGGAAAAACTTTGACGGTATCACAAGTAGGTCAACATATTTGGTAGAAAAAGTTGCCTGTGCAAGCCAAAGTAATTTTCAGGAAAGATTTTTAATTTCTGGAGAAGACAAGGCGTCAAAATGGTGGGTTCCACTGACTATGGTTGAATCTGAAGGCAAAAACAACTTCAAAACAACCACAACACAAGCTTGGTTAAGTCCAACTGATACAAATTTAGATATTACCTTGGAGAACGAAAACAATCAATGGGTACTTTTGAATACTTTTCAAACAGGTACCTATAAATACGCAACTTATTTTTTTTTTAAACAAAATTGCCTCAATAGGATTCTACAGAGTCAACTATGAACCCGCTCTATGGACTAGCTTGTCAAAAGCTCTTCAAAAAGATGATTTCAGTGGCATCGTGAACACTAACAGAGCTCAAATAATTGACGATGCTTTCAACATTGCGAAAACTGGTAAAATCACTTATTCGCAATTATTCGAAGTTATCAAATTCCTTAAAAAAGACAAATCCTACATATCATGGTATCCAGCTTTTACCGGTTTCCAATATATATTATCCAGAGTGCCAAGTGAGTCGGAGCTAAAAGCCAAAATGCAACAGCATTTGTTGAGTTTAATGTCTGAGTTTTACGACAGTGTTCCTATTAGTCAAACGAAAACAGGACACGTAGATCTTTTGTCCCAATCATTAGCTGGATCGTGGGCATGTTTGCTGGGACAAAAAACTTGTGTTAGTGAAGCACAGAAATTGTTTGCTGGACTTTTCAATAGTGAAAGTAAAAGGTAAGATCATATTATTTGGTATTTGAAGTAGCAAAATGTTATGATAGAAAAGTTTTTTCCTGGCTAAAATGCCGCGGTTGAGTAATATTTTTACCTAACTTCGTCTACTACTGCGGAAGACATCTTCAGAGGCGATGTGGTAGAGGACGAAGTGTTCTCTTTCGTGTTCCTCTGATGACTGGATTCGACGTTACTTTAGAACTCATGATTATTGCAATAATTACAAAGAATTTTTATGCATAATGCCATAACAATAAATAACTTAAAGATAAACTTAAAAGCTAAACTAACATGGTGGGCACCTTAAGATATTTCAACTTAAAAAAAGTAAAATAAAACGGACAAGTTGTCTTGAAGAGACTTCTTAAACCTAAACTTAAAGCTACGTGGATGGTCCTGGTCCTCGTCGGGGGCTCCTGGTCCTGGATGGCTTCTGTGGCGGCAGAGTTAGGTGAGGGCTTCCTGCTTCGGACTACCTTCCCAGGCTGGGGAAGGCATTCACCGTTCTATGTGTGACTAGCTTCCTGCTGCTTGCGTCCCTCCTGGGAGGGGCATGCTGCAGTAGGCTTTGAGGCTGGCTTCCTGCCTCCGATAGGCTTCCCATGCTGGGAAGCTGTCTCTTTGGCAGTAGGCGTACTGTTCGACTTCTCAGGCAGAGAAGTCGGGGGCGGCTTCCCGCTGCATATGATCCTCAATCCCTGCTCAATCCAGGGCTGATGATGCACGCAGCAGTAGGCCTGTTGTGGCCGGGATGGTTTCAACAAACATTGCGGGCTGCAGTGTTTGTTTCTGGCAGTAGTTGTTTGATGAGGGGTGCCAGTGCGCTCGTCAGTTGTGTCAGTTGTTCATGGTAGCTCCTGTTCATGTTCTCTATGGCACTAGAGATTTGTCGGAGCGTCTCGGGCAGGCTGTCGCTGATTGGTGCCGCCACTGGTCTGGGGCCCGCGCTGGCACTGGTGTTCGTGCCGGCGAAGGGGCCCGCGGTCGGGGCTGTTCTGGCTCTTTCGGCCCAGGAGAAGGGTCTCCGCTGGGCTGGTTGTTTGTGTTTGGGATGGCTTGGGCAGCCTTCCCATGAGGCAGGGCATAGCCAAATACCTCACCACTCTCCTTTAGCCACGGATTGACCAATCCAGCTCTTATATTAAAGACTCCACTCCTTTTATCAAAAAGATCAGTGACATCACTCTACAATCAAACAAAATTCTGGTTAGCTTTGATGTCGTATCGTTGTTTACCAAGGTACCAGTCAATCAGGCCTTGAAGAATTTAAAACTTATTTCACCACTGGCTGACGACTACGTACTTCCAATAGCAAAATGAATTATTTGAGCAGACAGATAGAGTCGCAATGGGGAGGCCACTTAGTAGCCCGGTCATCGCCAACTTCTACATAGAACACTTTGAACAAATGGCACTGCGAACGGTCACAAAGAAACCTATTTGTTGGTTTCGCTATGTAGATGACACTTTTTTGTTTGGAACCATGGACAGGCGCAGCTCGAAAACTCGACAACAAAATTGCATTCCTCGTCGATATAGGAAGCCGACGATACGAAAATATAACTCAACAAGGAATCCAATCACCATCCTAGGCAAAAAAGGAGAGTCATTAAAAAAGCAATCCGGATTTGTGAACCCTGGTACCTTCAGAACGAGATGCAACACTTGAATTGAGCACTTGAAAGAACTGGGTAATCCAAGCAGGAAATGAATAGAGCAATGAGACCGAATCAACAGCATACAAATGATGAAACCAGCACAGGTGGCAGGGACAGCCTTTCTTCCCTACATCAAAAATGTCACAGATCGCATAGGACGAACGCTAGAAAAACACAACATTAATCCCATCTACAAGTTCACGAGAACAATTCAGCTAAGATCGGCCAAGGATCTTAAGGCACCTCTTGAAACGGCGAGACAAGGAAAATAGCGTAATACAAGCCACGCCCACAACCCTTTGTATATAAATAACGTAGATCTAAACACGAAAGAGAACAAACCCATTCTGAGTCGAGCTCTCAAAGCGGAAGCATCGGCTAAGCCAAGAGAGAACTCAATTCTAGTTAGTTAGTTTGCGCGCCAAGGGGAATGTTGACCAGTGCCATTTCCCAGAGCCCAATCAAACTGCCAGTCAGTGTGTTTCCAAGTACCTCAATATGCCAGATCAGACGATGGAAGAATGGCAAGCCAGCATTACATGCCAAATCGAAGGGCTGCAAAAAGGAAACCAGTCATTGAAGAGAGACCAAGCGCAGCTACAAACCGACAACGCCATGCTGAAGCAAGAATCAGAAGTGGTCAAGAAAGAAAGTCTGAAGCTCAAAGTTGCTGAAAGCGCAATCCATACCGCCGACAACGTCAAGACCGCCAAGATACGCCGCTTAACCAAGCTGGTCGAGCAGCAGAACGTGGATGCAGAAGATTCTAGTGAAAACGAATCCATGGACCAGGATGAAGACGAATCCATAGCACAGGAAAACGAGGACTTTGTGCTACCAAATCGCAAAGTCAGACGTCGTAGAGCCAAGTCAAACAGCAGCGAAGAATCCGGTCAGCCACCAATGAAGAAACAACAAGCCAAACAACCAACGTAGGCGGTACAGACGAGTGTCGAACCAGAACCATCCAAGAGCCAACACAACAGGCCTACCACCCAAGCCTCCACCAGAAAAGGCTTCCTACTCAAGCCGCCAGCAATCGCCCCAGCGACAGCAAGCCAGCCTCCAAAGCCAGAGCGAATACCGCCGATTGTACTCCGAAGCAAGACCAAGTACAACGACCTAACAGCCCATTTTAAGTCAAACTAGGAAGGAAGGAATCAAAATACACCCTCCGACAGTGGATGACTTCCGGAAAATCCAATCCCTACTGGAAAAAAACAAAGAACCATTTCATGCCTTCAGCTTCCCAGAAGAAAAGAAGCTGAGAGTCGTCCTCAGAGGCCCGCCAGAGTCATGGTCAACGGACTACATCAAGCAATAAGTAGAGGACAAGAACTTTCACCCTACCACAGTAATAAGGTGGTACAAAGCCGAAAACTATCAACTATGTCAAGATAAGAGTCGCGACCCAGAAGTCACAGGCCACATCAACGCAATGCCACAGCTGCCAGCTCCACGGGCACTCACAATCAAAATGCCAGGCACTCCCCAAGTGAGTGAAATGTGCAGGAGACCACCGCTCGACCACTTGTTCCAAACCTAAAGACACGGCAGCCATCTGTGCAAACTGGGGCGGCGAACATCCTGCATCATACCAAGGATTCCCAAAGCAGCCGAAACACCTGAAAAAGCCGCAGTTCAACCCAGCCCCGCCAAGGCGGCGGAACGCTGCTAGCAATTAAATCCAAAATCCCCCACTACGAACTACCCAACCCAAGCTACTGACCAAATTGGAGGCACATTCGCATCAATCCAAGTGAACAGACAAACACTAGTGATCGTAACCATTTATGTGCAACCCAACAAAGAGATCACAACCGTAACAACTGAATGCACTGTTCGGCGACCCAAACCAGGCGGTACTAATTGGTGGCGATTTTAACGCGAAACACAGGGACTGACGCAGCCCTAGATCCAACCAAAGAAAGCAAACAAGAAAACGCAAAACGACTGAACTTTAATATCTGGCTACCAGACGAACCCACTCGAATCGGACACCACGGAGCGCCAAGTGTGCTTGATATCTTCATCCACAAAAACATCCACCCACTATCACAACCACACGTCATTCTTCAGTTATCATCAGACCACCTCCGAGTAGAGATCGAGTACGAGAACCCGGCAGAGCGAACACCTAACAGAAAGCGCTCTACGTTCATAAACTGGAACACTTACCAAAACCACCTCGAAAGACAAGAACCGATAAGAGAAATACCCACCATACCGGAACTGGAAGAAGCTGTAAACACTCTGACGGCTAACATTGAGCAAGCCCTAAATGAGGCTCAAAACACCTACTACCCAGCCACGCACAGACAAAAGCTGCCACAAGAAATAATGGAAGACATTTGCATCAGGAACAGACTGCGGAAAATCGCCATTAGAACACGAGACCCATACCTCCAACGACAACTCAATCGAACGAACCGACGGATTCGCATTCAAGTCAACGAATGCTACAACGACCAATGGCAGGACAAACTTGAATCCATCCACTGTACAGGCAAACACTTATTTCGACTGGCCAAGAACCCAACCAATGGACCACGCAAAGCAATTCCAAGCCCCAAGAAGAGACAGCATAACAAATATGGCCCTAAAGAAACTACCACCAAGACAAATACAAGACATAACAATGATCACGCAAGCCGCACTCAATCTTTCACACTTCCCCTCTGAGTGGAAAGAAGCCAGCATAATACTGTTCAGGAAACAAGGGGAATCAAGCAGCGAACCCAAAAGCTACAGGGCCATCAGCCTGCTACCAGCACTAGGCAAAGTAACTAAACGGGTTTTCAAAAGAGAGCTGCAGGACACCATCAATCGCCTCAACTTGTTGCCAAACGAACAAATGGGATTCAGACAACAACACTCCACTACTCACCAAGCAACAAGACTCGCTTACACCATACTAAAAGGGGCCAACAGAAGAATAGAAACAGGGGTGGTGTTCCTAGACATAGCCAAGGCATGTGACAAAATGTGGCATCAAGGCCTGATACTCAAAATGCTAAGAGCCAATGTGCCTCACTACATGGTCAAACTAATCAGATCATTTCTAACCGAAGGAAACTTCTGTGTAACATTGGACGGAGCCACGACCACCATGACCAGATCAACTCCCAGACAAATTCAAGCAGGCGTGCCACAAGGGGCACCGCTCAGTCTCACACTTTTCAACTTATACATGGCGGATATCCCAAGATCCAGAGAAACGTCGCTATTGGCCTACGCAGATGATACGGCCATCACTGCTACCGCCAGAAGCGGACCAATTATCAGAGCCCGACTCCAGAGTCACCTTGGTGAACTGAAAACTGGATGGACAGATGGAGACTGAGGGTCAATACCAGAAAAACCCAAGCTATCATGATTGGCGAAAACCAAAAGTGGACTCCAAAGGAGAAATTGAAATGGAAAAACACGCCACTCATCTGGAACAAAACAGCCAAATATCTGGGAATCCTCTTCGACAATCACCTGAACTGGAAAAAAACACATTAAGTATGCCAGGGACAAAGCATAAGCCCAGCTCAAACAACTCTACCCTCTTCTCAACCGAAAGAGTCAACTAAACATCAAGACAAAAATCATGACTTACAAGATATTCATCAGACCTGTAATAACCTACGGAGCCCCAGCATAGTTCACCACAGCCACTCCACGAAACCTCCTGCCTTTATCAACATTGGAAAATCGCATACTGAGAAATTTGACTGATGCACCATGGTTCGTCTGTAACACTATTATACGCAGAGACACACAGCTACAGCCAATCCAAAACCACATACGAAATCTCTGCTACAACTATTTTGAAAAAGCCAGAAGTGTGCCAACAACCCATTAATCAGGGAAAGCCACCTGCCAACTCCACCCGGGAATCACCCACAATGAGGAAGCCAAAATCTATAACCTCAACATAGGATCCGCCAAGAAGGACCAACAGATAAACTGATCTAACAGGACCTGGCAAACTAGAAAACATACGATCACACAAAAGAAAAATAGAAAATATGCAAAAATATTTTTCTTAATGTAAATATGAACACATATAGCCAGTATAAAAAAAATAGATAAACGAAAGAGAACACTTCGTCCTCTACCACACCGCCTCTGAATATGTCTACCGCAGCAGTAGACGAAACGTTAGGTAGAAATATCACTCGACCACGGCATACTAGCCCGGCTAAAACTTTTTAACTAGATTTGACCGGCCGTGAAAGCCTTAATTCTTTATAAAATTTTAGTGTTGACAAAAATATCAAAAGCATTGTATATTGCACCGGTCTACGATATGGTGATGCAAGCCATTTCGAGCAGCTATGGAATCTTTATGGTGAAACTGCAGACAGCGACGAGCAGGTGCTTATATTGGCTTCTCTTGGATGCTCATCTAATTCGGAAAAACTTACTCAGTAAGTAAGGAATTTGCTTTTATTTATAAATTTTGCAATAACTTTTTTAGACTTTTGACTGAAACTTTGAAGGACGACTCTAAAGTTAGATCGCAGGATGCTGCTACAGCATTTTCTGCAGTATACAGCAAATCCGACGAAGGAGTTGAAGTGGCCCTTAATTTTATGATTGCCAACTTTAAGCAAATCCTAGTGAAGTTAGTTTGTTCATACTGTTAAAAAGCGGGTTTATATTTCTTAATTTTTTGATAGATACTCAGCCATGAGCGCAAAAACTACCTTGATCAAAGGAATTGCAGGAAAACTGACTACCACAGCACAGTACGATAAGGTATGAGCCAAATAATCTATTTAGCTAATAAATTTAAACTAATTAATTTCAGCTCAAATCCCTACTTAATGATAACACAGAATTTGAAGGCGATCTGAAAGACTTGAAAAAAGAAGCCCTAGAACTAGCTGAAGCTAATTTAGAATGGATCAAAATCCATGGAAATGAATTGAACGAGTATTTTGGTATTGACCAAGATGATGATAATAAAACTAATAGTGTTCCTACTAGCAGTCCACTAAACTCACTAGTCTTAGCCATTATTGTTAGTTTAGCTGTTGCATTCTAGTCTGGTCTAAATAATAAAACATTTTTATTTTATTAATATCCAACATTGTATCCACCAAAGCCAGAAGTGTAGTTAGCTCCCATCAAACTTCATTAAATAGTTCGCATACATGTAATGCATTGAATGGGGCCCGAGTTGCTGACCCGATGCTTGTTTGCATATATTGTATCTGGCGGATGGCCGTTCCGGAACTAATACGCTTTTAGCATATTGTTCTCCATATCCCGTTTCATTCTGCCATGCAACGGCCCAAGTGTATTTGCTTGAGTTGAGAGATTTACCTACAACAAGGCCAATTAATAAATTTATCATAAGGTACGGGATATTTTTTTTCAGATGTGGTGAAGATATGAAACATGAAACTGCAATTTTGAGAGAGATACGGACTTGGAGATAATTGTTTTCAAGACCCTGCAGTTGGTAACACTTGATTTTGGAAACATTCTAGGTTCACTTACTAGTCAAGGCAAAATGTCAATTTTCAATTATCTTGGCTACTGCTACTTTGTTTCGAAAAATCATGAAAAGTAAAAGATTTGTTGAGAAATGTTGTCTTGCTGCTGAGTTGTCCTACTGGAGAGGGTTCGACTTATGCTCCGGTCTCTTGTGATACAACCACTGCGTCCTTGGTAGTTTGGACCAGGAAGCTCTTTCGTTTGAAACGTGCTCTATTCTCTGAGTCTTTGTAGGTATCTCAGTAGAGTTGCCTGCACTGAAGCGGAAATATTTATCAGGAATCGAGGAATTCGACAATAGAATTCGAGATATTTGGTTTTCTTTTTTGTTTCAGACAAAAAAACAATGAAACGGTATCTCTAAAAGGGAAAGTTTTGTCTTTTGCTATGGTAATGATTACTTCCGCGTGCTTCTAGCTCATTGGGAATGATCCATTTTGTTGGAAATTGCATTACGAGCTAGTGCCATTCTGGCTTTGAGGTTTTTGACGATTTTTTAAATTTCCTAGTAAATGATTTGGTTTCTAGTACGTCAATGTGTTTCCTATTTTCGAAGTCCATCGGCGAACCAATCAATTCTCACTTCGTGATTATCAACTCCAGCTGGGTATTCATTTGAGCGACCTTCCTGGGTCCTTATTCTTGGAACAGAGGAGCAATGTTCCCAGGTAAACGAGTGTTCCGTCTTTCTTAATGATATGCAAATGATAATATAAGTAACAAAGATGGAACACTCGTTCTCCTGGGAACGCAACTTCCCAGCAGAGTGGTTTATTCTACCTGTTATTCCTAACTTTCCATTCAAGGGCCCTCTCAGAGCTGCGCTTTGCTGATCTAGTGCAAAAATATTCAAAGTTGCTATGTTTAGTTCAGTGTCCCCATCCATCCAATAGTAACGATGGCCTCTTGAGTATCTGCGTAATCCTGCAGCCTGTCCATCCGATTGCGGATGCTGGTTCCAGGCGCAAGTTTTGTCTGAAGTGACCCTCATCCGTCCTCTGATTATCTCAATCTCTATAGTGACATATGTATCGCAACATGTCGAGTCTCGTACATTCTGATAAGCTAAGAGCTTTTCGACCTCGAGTCTCTGATCTCTGAATCCCCGGTGGTTTATTTGAAAAATCCATTGAAAAATCCGTTGAGTTCCTCACTTGGACTTGGGATGTCACTTCAGGGGCGCTGGAAGCGGATTTTCATGTTTGAGGCACGATGGGAACCGCTGATCTCCTGGTTCACAACGACTTCAGGTCGTATTGTGAGCTAAGGGTGGCAACACAACTCTATTTTTATGGGCGTCTTTCTGGTGGTTGAATTTGTCATATACAGGGCGTCCGTTTTTAAGTGATACCACCATTGCTATCTCCGAAACGGTAAGAGCTACGAGGTCGGTGAAATTAGACAAAAGTGGCAGATTCTAGTATTCATTAAGAATGGCACTCGGACATAAGTATCTCAGAGACTATTCACCATAGTCTTGACAAAAAAAAAACATTATCCTATAAATGTGAGCAAGAGAAAATGCTGGAAATAGGTTTAAGCTTTCTAAAATAACCGCAAGGGGGCGTTACTCAACTGTCAAAGTAAAAAAATGGTTTTATTTTTGGAATCTCAAATGGAAACGTATTTTGAAAACGGTAGCAATGGATTTTTGATGAAATTTCACACAATTTTGCTGTCAGATATTGCAACTCAAGAACGCAGATAACTACAAAACGACTTAACGAATTGGGTCGATGTTAGGTGCGTTGCTTTGCTATTTCTGGGATAGCAATAGTGATTTCATCTGAAACAGACACTCTATATAGATATAAAGTAATAAAAAAAGACAAGTAAAATAGGATGGATGAAAACTTTGAATGGAAAAAGATAAAATCTCTATACTAGGTACTTGAAAGCTTAAATTGTATAAGTATTTGTTTCAAAACAATGATATTTTTATTCATGACAATAATAATCGGATATTGAGGAGGATTAACGTTCAAGTATGATTCACGTTAATCCATATATGACAAACTTTTCATCAACTTTTAGGTTTCATCATCTAACAAAATCTAATTTATGCGGTCACATTTCCGACATTGCCAGACGCGTCGCGTATAGCCATAAACGTCGTTTTTAATTCGCATCATCAGTAAAACTATAGAGCAGCTGCCATTTCGAACCCTAGAATCATTCCGGTCGGTTCGCGTCATAAAAGGAAATAGGTTTTAGGGCTGCAAGCCATCATTAACCGCACATTATTAGATTTGCGAAAGGGCAAATTAAAACCCCTGCGCAATTTATTTCTTATATTATTAGGTCGGAGTTACAATGGATTCGTTTTGTACCTACTGGATGTGCACTTTGTAACATCTCACCCCCATTATTCACATTTGTTACTTGAACCCCGAACGATTTAAAAAGCATTGTCGAATGGGAGGTTTAAGTACCTACCAGTTGAGTTTAATTTAAGGGCGTGTTTGAGCTTCAATTATTGTAGAGGCTTTGATGTTCGAATAAAATGCCTTATTTTCCAAATTCTGTGGAATGCATTACATAAATATAATCAAATTAATTCTGTCAACGGCTTGTTTAGATGTGCAAGATTTTCATCAAAATGAAAAAAAAAAAAAAAACTCAACACCAACACTCTCCAGAGCCACTTCATCAAAAAATTTTAATGAGAGAAAGGATCGAGTGTGTTTAATTAAAACTAAGCACACAAGTTTTTATAATTTTTATTGCATATGAAATCACGTGTGTAGCAAATGTGATGGTTCATGAAAGTAAATTGATTTAACTGAAGAAAATTTATTACCTACATGAGTAACATGACATATTATAAGCAAGCAAAAACTGACTGAGCTCGTAAAGCTAGCTCAAAAAACAAAAATGGGGGAGATTTTCGGTTATGGCTTCCGCATTCCTCACTATTCTTTAATCTATCTTTCTGAATACCTATACCTGTGAACCTAACCTTCAAATGTAAGTTGGCGGAAAATTTAAATAGAGTTAACATAAATAAACCTACATCTCGGCCAGACTTGACAGCTTGATCGACTCGGTCAATTAAAGATCATTGCGTTATGAATTAGAAATGACATAAAATGGATATAATAGTTATTTATGCACCTAGGTCAAAAAGTACAGCTTTAACGCCCGCAGCGTGTGTAACAGCCTGAGGCGTTAGCCGAGGGCTGTTACACGGTCCAGAATGCATTACATCATTAACACTGATTCCACTTGAAGTTTTGCTTGAGGCATCAAATACTAATCTCAATTTTGTTGTCGTGCTGGATTCTTTTACTACAGGCTGGTGAGGAATGTAGTATCGGCTACTGTTCAGTTGCGGGCATGTTCTCGTATGATTGAGTTCCATATATTCTTCCATGAATTTAGTGTATTTTTCTTCAAGTTGTGGATCTTTTGAAAATCGTTTCTCCAGCTGCAGCAGTCGTGCAGCTGCACGTGATTTTGAGATCCCTAGTTGTTGTAGTTTATCGTTGAATGGGATCTTGACTGTGTACGTACCGTCGCTGTTTCTACTCGTGTTAAGTTGATAATGGTTTTCACAGAATTTCTCTTTTTTAGGGGTTGGCCTGCTTTGGGCTACTTCTTCTAGTTCCTAGAATTTCGATAACTTCCATATTTTTTCTCTCAATCGTAGAATGTTTCCGGACAGAATCCACCCAAATTCGGTATGCTGTCCGAGTAGTCCATCTACTGTTTTTCGAATGCCCGTTCGAATTATTTCTCCATATTCTTTTCCCCCAATATGATGTCGATTGGCCCTGGTCGGTAGAACGTGGGGTCAGCAAGTACATACATCGTTTTTCCATTGGACGATGTTTACGGCGATTTATTCACTTGGTTGCGTTCTTGTCAGTTTGGTTAGAACAATACATGGAATTTCCATTGAGAAACTGCTCGGAAATCTTGGCTTGACGTTTATTTCTACCATCCATTTTGCTACTTGAGGTTCTGCGCTTCCAAGTTCGGATACGTCGGCTCCTATGCGCTGGATATGCGTATGGATAGTAATGAAGCAGCTTCTTCAGTTATGAATCCGGAATGAGAGCCTAGATCTATTAACACACGTAAATATTCAACTATCCTTTGGTTATTATGGACTTTGATGACTGCTGTTCCCAACAGGACCAATTCGTTGTGTCTCCCAAGGTGATTGGTTGAGAACTGCCCTGCGTTTCTACGGGGTTGTTGATTTGGTTGCCAGTTTCTGTTATTTGGTTGCTGGAAGCTTCTGGCTCCGTTCTGGTTTCTCTGTTCGTTAAAGTCCACATGTACCATTTTATGGTGGAATTTCTTGCTGGTATGACATACGATGGTTGAATTACATCTTATGTGCGCTGGGTGTCTTAGACAGTTTATGCAGATCTTCTTTTCCTTGATGATTTTAAATCTTGCAGATGGAGCTTGAAACTTCTGACAATTGTAGATGCTGTGATTAGGCACGTTGCTTTCAGTTGTGCTGTGGGTTCAGCGGCGCCGACTTTTGAAAGTCTTCATGGGTGCAGGATTATAATAAATAACTTTATAAATTTGTTTATAGAGGAAGGAGGTGGGCACTAAAGCAACCCTCGTTCAATTTTTGTATTTGATATCCCCCCCCCCCCGTATGCCTGGATAGGTAGTATAAATTTTAAGCAAACATTTGATAGTGTATTTATTTCACCCCTCGTATCACGGTTCTCTCATAAGTGATCGAAAAGGGGACAACGGATTCCTATAAAGGGTGATTTACGTAGCCTGTGCATAGGGCTGAAGATTGGTTGGTTCAGTGCCAACAGACTTAAGCTGAATCGGAGCAAGACCCATAAGATTATATTTTCGTTGCGGAATACAAATAACAGACCCAATTGAACTGAGGTGAAATTCTTGGCATTCTTGGGAATTCGAGTAGGAATCTATCTGGATCTTAAGTTAAGATGGGATGTCCAGGTTGAGAGGGTGTCGAGTAGGCTGAGTACCATTATCTTTCTGCTTTGTAACCTGTATGGCTGAGTGTCGAAACAGTCAAGACTGCCTACTACGCGCTGTTCCATTCACTGATGTCATATGGCAGTAATTCTTGGGGCAGTGCGTCTTTGACGACTAGAGTTTTCGGACTTCAGCGTAAGGCTGTAAGGGTGCTTACTGGATTGGGGTATAGGGATGACTGCGGGTTGGCTTTCGGTGATAAAGGGATTCTGACTTTCCCGTCAGTATTTGTTCTTGAGTCCATTGTCTATGTAAAGATGAACGAGGCGGACTTCATATCCCACTCCGACCTTCATGACCATCAAACAAGAAATCGTAATGACCTGATTCCGGCGCAGTGTCGTCTGGGAAGGTGTCAGAATCGCCCGGAATTTCTGGCAGTTAAGATTGCTTTTCAACAGGTTACCCAGTGACATAAGAGCTTTGCCATTGAAATGTCTTAAATCTAGGGTTGAAGCATTTCTTGTTAAACAAGATTTTTATAGCATCCAAGAGTTCCTTGACTGTGATATCATTTTTAGTAATTTATAATCATGTTTTATTTTTTTTATTTTAATGTGGTTTAAATGTAATGTATGTTTGTAAACATTTTCTAGTTCTATTTTTTTAATTGTCTCCTTTGTTGTTTCCTATAGGTACACGTTTTTGTAGCCGTACGTCATCTAGCTGATGCATTTTGTTTGGCTCTCGCAAGGTGGTGTCTACCTTCATGCTATTGAGTGCTTTTACACATTCTATCATTGTGTCATGCAGTTGCTTCAGCTTGTACGCTGATTCGTGACTGATTGATGGTGTTTCCAAGATCTCATCAATCAGCTTGTTGATGATGAGTCTCTCGTTATAGTATCTTCTCTGGAGAATGTTCCAGCTTGCAATGTAGTTGTCACTGTTTATTTGTAGATGTTGAATGACTCTACTGGCTTCACCTTTTACGTGGTTCTTCAGATATTTAATTTTTTCGATGTCGGTGAGGTCACCATTCTCATGAACAATTTTCGTGAAAATGTCCCTAAAAGTGGACCATTCTTCATATAATCCATCAAACATTGGCAGTTTCACTTAAGGTAGCGATATGTTGTTTGACCTTGACTTTGGATAATAACAGTATAGGCATGATTTGTGGCGATGCCGGTGTGGCTGGATAATTGCTTGTAGATTCATTTGGTTGTAACTATAGCAGTGTATGGGAACTTGTACGGTTTATGGACCGATTGGATTTCGAGTTGTGGGTTTAGGTTCGAAATCTGCTTGAATTTCTGGGTTATCTTGTATTAGAGCTGCTGACGGCGCTTGATTGGGGTGTGATCATTCATTTCTGCAACAGTGTCGTTTAGGACTTTTTCCATTTGGTTTAGCAGTGCTGTTAGTTTTGATGTCATCTCGTTTTGTTTGGGCTTTGACTTTTTTATATCGTCTTCTATGTAGTCCACTGTGTCAGTGTTGATCTTCTTGTGGTTCTCATGGATTGTTGTCCATAATGATTTCAACGATTTGGTTTTTACCTCGAAGTATTGTTTTGTTTTTCGGCTTGATGAATCTTTCTTCATATTTGTCAGCATACGTTGCATGTCTCGCCCGTGTTGTCACTGTTCCAGCGCGAGGCGGTCCATTTGTTCGCCTACGGTAGACATTACGCTGAAATTGCATGGAGTTGTTTTTTTTTTCACGAACTTCTGTATCTGTTGTGGAATTCCGTCCAATATCGGGATATCTTATCCTGTGCTCCGTGGAACACAGTGAAGAATTTATTCACGTCTATGGATATTTTGTGATGATAGCACATAACGAATTTATGCCAATCAGATCGACTCCAATTCCATTAAAAAAAAAAGTCATACCGGATCCTAGATATTCCAAACGAAGTATTAACAATAGATTATGATTCACAGCTATACATTCGAAATATCTGAAGATAAGTTGAGCAACTCTCAGTCTGAACTTTGCAGAAAATGTTTTCGTATGTCCACCAACCACTAAAAGAGGCATAGAGACGAGTCCTAATTGCATAATAGCCAGAATATATTGAAGAGAAGAAAATACTTCGTGCAAAATCCTACAGCAATCCATAGCATCAATAATATGGAAGCAGCTACAAACTCCAAGCTCTTGGTTAGCAATTACGCCTGAAAAAACAAAAATTGCCATTATTTGCGGTGGAACCCGGGACGATGTGGCACTAAATCAAACAGCTATTATAGAAATAGCTTCAAATTGCCTCATTATAACTAAAAAGAACATCCTTACTCCTGAAAGGTCAGATACTGTCACTGTCTTAGAAACATTCTCCAAACCCATACTACAAAATATATCATTATTCCCAGTTATGCATGAAAGGGAAATCACGCTAATTGACAAACCCGCAATTGATGTATCTAATAACCTCGATGAATTCAGGAATGAAGAAATGAACATCAAACAACAACTTGAAACTACGCATTGGGTAACAGTAAAAAAGCACCTCCTAGTCACGAGCCTTAGTGCTACATTAGTAACTATAATTGTTATCACACTTATAGTGCTATTCAGGTTCTACAAAGGACAACAGAATAACGGCTCCAAAACAAGAAAAAACAGAGATGCAGCAGACATTCTATTAAATACAATTAGAGCTGCCCAGCCACCCACCGAAGCTATTGTCCTCGAACCAGTATTGCCCCATGACAGCACTGAACACTGATGGCATGGCAATATAATGCCCAGAATGTCTAAATTCAAAACTAAAAAAAGCCCTAAATTATATCTATTAAATTATCACAAAAATTAATTAATTATTAGCGTCCAGGTACTCCTAGGTCATCGACACCAACGCACCTCCAGTGGGTCACCAGGAAACATAGGCATTAGTACGATCTATACCAGACGCAGCGTCATCAAAAGTTTAATTACAAAATCTTTCGATGTTGCACACAACAGATTTTGTCAGCGATTTAACCATTGTTCATGACGTTTGTAGAAGTTGCATTTTTTTGCATAGTTGTTAATTGTTTAATAAAAATCAGTATTAATCCAACAGTGGTTCTTACTCCCCAGTTACTAAACTTCCCGGGTGTACTAACTCAACCTACAAACCACAAACAACAAACTACCAAGTGTTTTGAGCATCCTCCTAAATTCCAATACAGGAATTTACAAAGGCTGATCTCAATTTGAATGGTTTCGAAATTAATTAAAACATATCACGTACATTCATTTTCCAATTTATTTCTCTTCCTTTAAAAAATTGAGAACATTTTCCATATCATTCAAAAACATAAGAACATAATAATAAACTCTACCCTGACAACCATTTTCCCGCAACCTACTGCAACCTATTACACTGTTGTCAGCAACCCTTTAATAACTCCCAAATTCCCCGCTAGGGTGTTTCTGACAACCTCAATGCTGACAATCTACGAAATAGGGATCTATCACTAGTTGGGAAATAAAAAACTACTACAGTAGCAAGTCCAAATTTTGTGCGAATGGAAGAAAGGCAGCATTGATGTGAAAATAAAACCCACAAATAAAGAAAACACGATGTGAATCAGTGAATTTATTATGTGTAGGTTTCCTTGCCAGCAAAGGTTATTTAGTGGTTGCTAGAGTCACACAAGTTGATTAAAATCATCATCATAGACATTCGATCGAAAAAAATATTCACCTTGTATACAAAAAATTTCAGATAAATCAAATAAATCCCTTATAAAAATACCCATTAAATCTCATCGAAGTTAACCCTTCCAGACACAAAAATTCCATTATCCTCCGAAGGTGGTCCCGTACTCTTTCAAGCCCAATTAAAAACCCATACATCACCCTCGGAGAGCAAAAATATACAGGGGGTTATTGCAAAGTCATTCAGGAACAAAACAGCCACTTAACAAAGTGACAAAATATGAAACTCTATCCTTCGGGCTCTTTTATAGGGACGCACGCGCAAAAACTGTTGCTCTCTGGCGCCAAACGACTGAATATTCTTCAGTTGTTGGCGGGCGCTCGCTCAATGGTTTTTCTCAGCTCTATAGCGTAAGTATAGAGTAGACAGAGCGGCTTGAGCGCTTTTATTACGCGCGAAAAAGTTTTTGAGACGCGCCGAATTCGAATAAATTTTAACTTATTTTTCTCGAGTGTTACTTTGATGGTGCGACAAAGTGATTGGTAGACAGGGACTTAAGTGTTTAGTAGTTGAATGCAAAAGTTTTTTTGAAGACAGTTTTAAGTGAATTCTATTGAAAATGGAGTCTATGAACTTGAAGCCGATAATGTTCTTGTGGATTCTCGCTTTTATTTCAATCAAAGGTGAATAATTCGATTTTACATGTTAATTAACACTATACCATTATAACTAATTATTAATTGTAACAAATTACTTCTGTGAATATTTTTTTCCAAAGCGAGATTGGCATATAATTTTGGACCCTTTGAAACATTTTGTCAATTTTTGATTAGCGTACATATTTATCATAGGGTATTAGACAAAAGGACTTGCTCATAAAACCATAATGATCATTACAAATATAATTTTCAATTTTAAAAATATCATTGCGAGACAAAGTGCATATATTTTTAATTTGCAGAAGTGAGAAACTTCCAGAGAAAATAATTATAATATTTTTTGACATCAAGAATCCGATTTTGCGAGAACTAAAATTCGGAAGGGTGGAAAAGATTGTATAATCAAGATAAATCGGGAATGAAAGAAATATACTCATGGATTTTTTTTTACAAAAGTTGGACAATACGGTTTTATTCCTGGAAAGTTATTTTTCCACTCCTTGTCGAGAGGCTGAATCATTATTTCTGGCTTCTTCTTCAAAAATATGAGCTACTTCAAAATACGTAAAGTTGCAAATACAATATTTCTTCCCCCATGTTATCACTTTTCTATCTCTTGAATAATAATTGTTCAATATTCACAAATTCCTCATCCATCCATATTTTGTCATAATCTCCAAAGTTTAAAATCGATTTTACATCCAGAACAAAATCCCCGCCCTTCGCAACTAACGCCGCCTAAATCTTCTATATTATATCATAGATGCAAATTACGATAAATTTACATAACAAGTTAAATTTTCTACATAACAATAACAATTGAATGTTAAGTGGAAAATGTTGGAACAGCAATTAGATTCAATAACAAACCCACTACACAAGTTAGGCAAGTTTTAAGTACAATTTCCATTAGATGGATAGCTATTTCACTCCATCCAGCCATCCGGCCAAACTGCACGTCGTTATAACCTGCCCTATTATAACCGAACAACTTTTAATGAAATTACTACAACTTTACATTGGAGCTGTTCATCTTTCGTGGAAAGTTTGCCAGGTGAAGCTCTCTATTCCTTGCCAGAGTTCTATTGTGATAGCCGCCGCGGCGCAGGGTGATTTTCTCCGAAAATTCGCTAGTTAATTTCATCATCCGGGGGATATTTTGAGATAAAATTAAAACTAGGATCGAGGTTAAGGCTGATTATCTTTTGTCGGAAAGTTTGGAAACTTTCGAAACGAAGTCGTTTAAAAGTTATATTGAAGTAGAATTGTATAGAATAATTGAAGATGCACTTCTAGGATCCATTATTTAGACGAATTATAGATCTTCACCTACGCATTTTACATTTGAAATCCCTTTTTCAAAAATTCGTATCAATCAAAGTCGAATGATAATAGGAATGGAGATAACGGCTGCATTCTAGTTTTACCTTTTTCTTAGATAGCGGGTAAATCAGTCAAACAATTTTTTCAAAATAATTCTTTATTACATAGCAAGCTTTCGGTACTATTTCGTACCTTCTTCAGGGCTAAAAAATTATATAAGTTAAATGTATAAGATTACAAAAGATACTCAAGATCTTCATTTCTGGGTTTTAATGGGTAAAGTAAAGGTTGTAATTACTGGTTTATTTTTTAAATTGTTAAGATATATGAATATAGGTATGGAACTTAAATCTTGAATATCTGTTCTTTTATTCAATGAATTTTTTCTTTATTAATTCCAACCATTTCATGGAAAAGTCTTTCATTTAAATTTGTTTGTTGATGTAAAATTTTAGCATCATTGAAATTTATATTGTGTCCTATTACAAAAGAATGTTCACTGATAGCTGATGAGTCTTTATTTAATCTGATATCACTTTCATGTCCAGAAATTCTATTTTTCGAATTTTGCTTAGTTTGGCCTATGTAGGTATATTTCACCAATCATCACAATTATTGCATGGTATGGAATATAGGTACCTACAATATTTGATTTATTAAGATTTGATGTTTAATCTTTCAATTATTTAGAATAGAGTTTATTAATAGGTTTTATGTTTTTATTAGCATTCTTAATATTTTTAATAGTAAATATTTTTTTAATTTTAGGACCAAGTTCTTTTATATATGGTATAGAACAATACAAATTATTATTGTTTATATTATTATTGATGTTTGTCATTCACGACATTTAAATAGGGACACGGACAAGTACGTACTGACGTCGGTTCATATGCTGATCGTGCTCATTCGTAATCGAATCAGACCAAAGAGAGAGAGTCGATTCTCTATCTAATAACGATTTTAGTGTTGCCTATACAACACCCCCACAACAAACTATGAAGTTACACATATTCATCATTATTGTAGAATGATCACGACCAAATTCCAACAATAAAATACATCCTCACATCTATTCTATATCCAACATTCCTTAATGCGTCAAGAACATAATTTACATTTATTATCTGTCTACACAGGACATTAAGGATCAGAATCCGAATTTGTATGGGTTGTATAATCATTCAAATAAGCTGGAGTTTTCACCTCGCGTTTCGACCTTGGCTTTTTTGTAGGGACTTGTACGGATGTGTTAAGTTCTACTTTAGGTTTTCTGCATTGCGTGCCGATGGTTATTCCTGCAGGCTGTTGGCTACACCCCGGTAGAGTCACCAACCCCTTTTGGTCACCATCTCTAGTCGAAACACTCGGCTTGGGCTCCTGTTCGGTGTCTGCATCATCAACCGGCTTTTCAAGAGAAATATTGTCCTTAGTTGAATTTGTCATGTTGCGATTTTTGGGAATACATAATGCTATGTTAGGATTTTTATAGGCAGGAGCAAGAATTTGTTACTTACAGAAACGTTATCATCATTATTAATGTTACTCACACGATCTGGGCTCAACCTGGGGTTGGACGGGGTTGGCTAGGCAGCGTATGGGAGGTTTAGGTATAAAATAATCTTGCTTACTGAAAGGCAAGAACCTATATTATTTTCATAACATTGATAAGGCACACCCAATTGTCTTTCATCGGCATTCTCCCCGTCTTCGTTCTCGGTGTTGCAGTACCTCTTAATTTGGTCTACATGTCTCTTCCATTGCTCTCCCGTATTTCTCTGACAGATATATATGTTGATTTACCTAACTTCTTTGTGATAATTACTCGTGCCTAAGATGGTTTATTTGGATTTTTATAATCCTCTGCATAGACTTCACTGCCCTCTTCAAAATTCCTTGTTTTTCCTCCGCATATACCTCTTTTTATTTGGCCAAGTTGCGTACCCTGATATCCATAGCATGTTTTTCTGGCTCGTTGTACTCTTTAGTGGGAATTTCTTGAAGTAATTGCCATCTTGTTCGCATTTCTCTGCCAAACATTAGGAGTGCAGGTCTTTCCGGTACTGCTATGTTCTGTTGTTCTATAAGATAGCAAAAATCTTGAAATTAGCGTCGTTATGTGCGTTTCCCTATTTCTGGGGTCATTCACCGCTGCACTTAACCTAGTTTTAAAGATTTTCACAGCTATCTCCGCTGCTCCATTACTTTTTGGATTGTATGGAGGTATCGTTGTATGATTTATTCCATTTTTCCTGAAAAATTGTTTTAAAAATCTAGAGATAAAAGATGGCACATTGTCTGACACAACTTCTTTTGGAATGCCAAAGCAGGCAAAGATTTTTCGCAGCTTTTTTTCTGTCTCGCTCGACGTGATATTTTTCATCTTTTTAACCTCTATCTATTTGGAGTATGAGTCCATGAGTATCAGATACATTTTGCCTTGGAAAAATCCAAGGAAGTCAATGTGGATCCTATCAAATACTTGTACCGTAATAGGCCACGAGGTCAATTAATTTTTTGGCGGGCTTGGTTTTGCTCTCAAGCAAGAATCACACGTATCTTTCATTTTCTCAATCTCTGAATCTATTTTTGGCCAATATGTAATTGATCTACCTAATTTCTTGGCAGCAAGCCATTATGACTGATATGTAGCGCAGATATCAATTCTTTCCTTAAGGATTTTGGAATAATAAATCTATGGCCCCACGAAAGTATATCCTTTTCGATTGTTAGTTCATTTCTTCTGGTAAAATATGCTCTCTCGTTTTCAGTCATTCTATTAGGCCATTGCTCTGTTCTAACGTAGCTCATAATCTCTTGAAGTTCTTCATCTTTTGTTGTCTCGTCCCTTATCCTACGATTATCTATTGGCCACTCCTCTGTAGTCTCTGTAAAGTTGATGTATCCACCCTGTACGTTTTCCTCTGAAACATTGTTGTGATCTACAGGGTGCCTTATAAAGTAATCAGCGAAAGCGTTTTTCTTTCCCTTTACATGTTGAATTTGATAATTAAACATAGACAAGAAGGCTGCCCACCTTTGCAAACGGTTTGCAGAATACTGAGGTATTGATTTGTCCTCCCCAAAAATTGTACCAAGAAATGTATGATCTGTTCTTAAAATAAACTTGCTACCTCCACATAGATCTTGGTAAAATTTTGAAACACCAAAAATTATTGCTAACACCTCTTTATGACAAGTTGGATATGATTTTTCTGATGGTAACAATTTTCTAGATACACATCCAATTAATCTGTCTTTTCCCTCAATAACATGTGACAAAACTGCGCTTATACCCACATCTGAAGGGTCAGTTTGCAAAATTATAGGCAATTCAGGGTCAAAGTGAACTAGTACCTGGTCTGACGCCATTATTTGTTTAATTCTGTTAAAAGCCCTTTCACACTCCGCTGATCAAACAATTTTTTTTTTTTTTTCATTTTTAAGCAATTCACATAGGTAAAGGATTTAAAATATCTGCGTGTTTTGGCACAAATTGGAAATAATAATTTATACTACCAGTAAAACTTCTCACCTCCGACTGATTTTTTGGCCTGCCAGCCTCCAAGATTGCCTTTATTTTGCCATCTGTTTTCCTAAGTCCGTCCCTGCTGATGCGATATCCCAAATACTCAACCTCTCTTTTGAAAAATTCACACTTTTCTTTTCTGACTATGAGTTCCGCATCCTGAAGTACTTTG